GGGGGCGGGGGCGGGGCTGGGGGCGGGGCTGGGGCTCCTGGGGGTGTCCTCCATTTGGAGGCACAAAATATGGTAACCCTAGGCAACCCTAGGTACAAAGAATCTCAGAAGAGTTTGAGGCTCATTGGGAGGCAAGCCCTGGCGATTTGCAAAGGAGGAAAGATTGGTCTCGCCCCCTTTTTTGCTGCTTAGTGATGAGTAAAGAGGGCCGGAATTTTTTTCTGAAGGCGTTTTTGGGGATGGAGGGATGCTGGTGCCAACCAGAGAGGAGCAGCTCCAGCTGGCTCAATAGGAAAAAAAAATCACCAGATTCCACCCTAAGGGCCCAATCCTGCTGGATGCTGAGCACCCTCGACTCCTACTGAGTTCAGTGGAAGAGAGGGGGCTGGGGGAGAGGGGGCGCAGATACCATGGCTGAGTAGTCTGCAAAGTGAAGTGATTTTTAGCCACACAATCTAAAGCTCTTTGGGCCACATCCTTTAGCAATTATTAATCATATTTAGTCTTGAAGTGCCTAAGGGCCCTACTGTGCTAGGCGCTGTGCAGAGTAGCCCCGAAGCGCTTACAGTCTAAACAGATGGTAGCCGCAGTGCAGGGAAAGGGGTCTCACATACCAGCAGAGTGAGCAGTGTGACGGCAGTAAGCGGCATGTTAGCACCATGATTTTGGGTTTGGGGGTTAGTTAGGAGTGGAGGGTTGGAGCAAACAGCCTCATGGCATGGGGCAGAGACAGTCATAGAATCATAGAAGATTAGGGTTGGAAGAGACCTCAGGAGGTCCAACACCAACTAAATCAGCAAGTTCGCAGATGACACTAAGCTAGGGGGAGAGGTAGATATGCTGGAGGGTAGGGATAGGGTCCAGAGAGACCTAAACAAATTGGAGGATTGGGCCAAAAGAAATCTGATGAGGTTCAACAAGGACAAGTGCAGAGTCCTGCACTTAGGATGGAAGAATCCCATGACTACTATGGGCTGGGGACCGACTGGTTAAGCAGCAGTTCTGCAGAAAAGGACTTGGAGATTACAGTGAACGAGAAGCTAGATATGAGTCAGCAGTGTGCCCTTGTTGCCAAGGAGGCCAATGGCATATTGGGCTGCATTAGTAGGAGCATTGCCAGCAGATCGAGGGAAGTGATTATTCCCCTCTATTTGGCACTGGTGAGGCCACACCTGGAGTATTGCATCCAGTTTTGGTCCCTACACTACAGAAGGGATATGGACAAATTGGAGAGAGTTCAGTGGAGGGCAACAAAAATTATTAGGGGGCTGGGGCACATGATTTACGAGGGGCGGCTGAGAGAACTGGGGTTATTTAGTCTGCAGAAGAGAAGAGTGAGGGGGATTTGATAGCAGCCTTCGACTACCTGAAGGGGGGGTTCCAAAGAGGATGGAGCTAGGCTGTTCTCAGTGGTAGCAGACTACAGAACAAGAAGCAATGGTCTCAAGTTGCAGTGGGGGAGGTCTCGGTTGGATATTAGGAAACACTATTTCACTAGGAGGG